TAGTCTCTTCGGCCTTGATTCAGTTGTTTCTATAAGTTTAAGATTTTGATTTTTGTCAAAGTACTTCTAATCCTACCATATTCTATCATTACATTATTATAGGTTATGTTATTCTCCTTGTCTATGTTGATGACATTACTCTAACAAGTGATGATAGATAACATATCTTTGATTTCAAACCTTCTTCAAAGTAAAACAGTGATCAAGGATCTAGATCATTTTTAGTGTTTTATGGTTATTAAAGTTGTCTACTCTTCTAAGGGCATGGTTATCAATCACTTGAAGTATGTGTTTGATCTATTAGGATGTAAGGATGTTGGGCATCAAACCTGCCCCTACACTGATAGATTCAGAGGTCAAGTTGTTTCCAAATTTAGGTGATGCTCTTGAGGATCTAAGACAATTATGTCGCTTGGTGGGACTACTAAATTATTTGACATTGATTCATCCTAACATTGCTACGAGTGTGGTAAGCAAATTTATGGCCAATCCATGCAATATTCACTAGGATGTAATCATAAAAATCATTCAATATCTAAAGGGACATCTTGGCCAAGGATGTATGTACAAGCCTTCTTCTTCTCTTGATATTCATAATTATTATGATGTAGATTGAACAAATTCTCTTATTGATTGGTATTCCATCCCTAGCTATCACATCTTTTTGGGATGGATCTTATCTTTCAAAAAAGCAAGAAGTGACAAGTGTTGTGTTATCCAATGTTGAATCAGAATATCAAGCTATGTGGACTGCTACATGCAAGCTTATTTGGGTATGCCAGTTTTTTATAAAGCTTGGCATCTTTCATCCTCAACCTATACGTCTCTTCTAGGACAATCAATTTACGCTTCATATTGCTTACAATCTTATTTTTATGAATGGATGAAATATATTAAAGTGAATGTCAGTTTATATGGGAGAAGCTTTAGGCTCAACTGATTCTCCTAATTAGAGTATCTTTGAAACTATAACTTGGAGACATGCTTACGAAGGCTTTCCATGGTCTTTGACTAAATTTCTCTTGTTCCAAGCTTAAAACTTTCGATCTCTATGCTCCAACATGAGGGGGGCTGTATATATATATATATAAGCCCCAATCAAAACATTAAATGGGCAGCAATTAGAAACATGTTGATAAGGGTGGCAATTTGGAATATGGCAGCTCTAATTAGTGGTGCTAGGAATATTGATTATGTTTGACTTTATGTTTTAAATGAGAACCAAACTCTTCATATTAGTGGGAGAAATTTATAACTCAATGTCACTGATAAGTCTTCATTATCATGAGTTAATAATTAGTAAATAATATGGTTTTAGCCTTAGCTCATGATAAATAGACTTATATTTATGTTAAAGTATGAAAAGTAGTTTTCAGTTGATTAACGTGAATTTTTGAGTAATTATGTGATTTTATACGAATTTATATAATTTTTACAGTCTTATTTTTGAGATAAATGAAGAAAAACAAATAAAAATAAAAATATAATAAAATAGAGGGTATCTGTCGGCCAACTGGGCTCGCAAGTGGGTTGAAAGCACAGTCAGGGAGGAACCACAAGTAGGGGCTCGAGTAGCTAAGACCAATAGGGGCACGTGTGTGTCACTCCCCTTCCACGAGACCGATGGCCATTCAACTATAGGATAAGGAGTGGTCGTACATGCGAAAGAAAAGGACTTACTTGTAAATATAATATTATTATATATTCATTTGAAACTTTAGCGCACAAATGATGTGAGACTAAATTTGCGTCACACCTTCGCCAAAAGGCTTTGATGATTTTAATACCTACAATACCTCTTATTTATAATAGAGATATACCATGATGATGTCATTTTATAAGGGCATTAGAGTACTTATTTCAATCTCTCTCATGCAGACAAGCAATTGACACAAGTTTAAATCCTTCTAAAACCAAAACTCATATTTTTTATCTGATTATTATGACTTTTTTGTAAATTGTCAATGAAAGATTAAGCCAGTAGAATCGCAAGATCATCGATGAAAATCTCGTCAACATGATTCGCGGGGCATTGTTACTAAAATTATTAAACGATTCGTGATAAAAAGATCACGAATTCATTGAGTAAAGCATCTTTGATTGATCGATAAATAAGCCATTGTCAAGAAGATGATGATCTGCCAAGAGATGAGTCGCCACCTCCTGAGAGCATATCAGATGTGATCAAGAGCTTCCTCTTACTGTGCAAACTTGAGGATGAAACTCCCTAACACGCACCCAACCTCCATCTAGCTCCTCTCCGTTGAGTGACAGCTGTCAGAGAGCTGTAAAGTCATCATTTTTCCGCTCCGTCGAGTGATAGCTGCTGGAGATGATTCGACGACCCATTTCATTGATACCTAGACTTTGCAAGGGGATCTAGAGATTACCCACATCATCTTTGTCCAAGGAGAGACTTCGAGGACGTGGACACTATATGACGATCCTCCCAAACGCTCAAGATTTCGGTGCATTGCTGACGCATCACCACCGCAATGCCGGAACTCTATTTTTTTGCTTTTAACTTAATTTTTATTTTATTTAGTGATAATTTGTGTGATTTAAATTTACCAAATTATACTTCATTTAATTATGATTCTTCTGACTTTTACAAATCTTAGACTGATCAATTAAATCATCTATAATCACTTATGTAAGAATCACCAAATGAAACTCTATTTTCACTTAATTTGCGTTCACTGGGCACTAACATCATCTTGATGTCCACACCCTTATTTCCCTTTTTGTGAATTTTAAATATATTTTATTTTTATTTCTTAATGTAAAAATTATAGAAAATAGTTTTCTTTGAGAAAAATTTTGAATAATTATCTGATATTATATTATATTCATATAATTGACTTGGAAAATTACCACTATTTTTAGAAGTTTTATTGAATTATAATTGATATATTTGTTTAGAAATACTTATAAATATCTGAAAAATTATATTTTATAATTTTATAAATTTTAAATTTACGTGATTTACTATACAACAACTAAATCATGTTAGCCATCTTTTTTCTCTCTCCCCCTCCTCACCCTTATATGTATAGGGCTTTCACCCTTCTTTTTATTTTAATATTACTATTTCCTCTATCCGCATGGGTAATAAAATTAACATTCCTATTAATTTTTTAAAAAATACTCTAAAAGCACAACATTTTTATCTTGAATAGCATCCCCAACACAAAGCACAGAACCACTCGACTAGGAGATTCAAAAATCTCTATCTAGAGAGCACTTCTCAAAAACAAATCAAAGAAGTACCCAATGTCACAACAATTAAAAATTTTAGCTGATGTGAGCAGATGTTAGTAGAAACATAATTCTATGGGCTGATGGGATTCAGCCCATATTATTATTCTTAGGCAGAAAAATACCAATTGGTAGAAACAACAATTAAGATACTCACAATGCACCTCTACGTGTTGGGGCTATAGATTAGAAGAGAGATATCAAAGTCATAGATATGCCATTTGCAGCTCCCCTTTAGCATTGTTTATGATGACGTGAGGAAAAAAAATTAAAGAGTCAATGAAAAAACTTCTAAGTTTGAGTCATGGGTTGAAGGAACATAAAAAAAAATGACAAATTATAAAACTTGAGAGTAGAAAATTACTACATTATTCTGAAGAATGGTCAATCTAATGTTGATGATAATCTAACCAAAATTGAAAACATAGCCTAATTAGAAGTTTAATACAATCTAATTTATGTTTATGAGATTACTCAAGTTTTATCATCTAATCACATTTGACGCATGTTCAATAAATTAATAGTACCACTTATGTCTATACATAGATACTCAATGCTTTATTGGGTATTGATCTAGTAAAAAGGGCAAAAAATAATCAGATCAGCCCAAGTGGACATACTCAATGGCTAAAATATGTTAAAATTACTATGCATTGTGGGGAGTTTAACATAACAAAGAACACATGCTTAACAAATATCCCTTTTTTATCAAAAATATAACAACTCCTCCATGCTAAATATGATCCCGAAACAACATTCAACTAGAAAGAAATCATGATGCACTCTTGTTCTGTACAAACACTAAATTATTTTCATTTTTCTGTTATTTTTGATTGCATGTTAAATCATCATGCGTATTGTACATACAAAAGGTGAGGCAATGTTGTGTCACCTATTACACTAGAAAAGAGAAAGGACTCAAGTTGAGCTGAATTCACAAATAGAATGTTCTTCAACAAAGATGCAAAATTCACAACCAATAAAAGTCTAAAGCCATATGGCTTTGCCAAAAAAGGATAGCTGGATAGGAGTGGAATTGCTAGAACCTAAAGTGAGAAGTATTTGTGAGATAGAACTCAAAAAATAGATATGAAATTGAAAATAAACGACAAGAAACTGCATAGTTCATACCCCTACAATACAAGATGAAATAGTTGGACCAAAGAGTCTTTCAAGGGGAGGGTACACAAATAGTTGGAAGGAAAGAAGATTAAATCTTGAGAAAATCAATTAGTCCATGTTTTAGAAAAAATTACATATCAAAATCTTGTTGATTTAGTTTTCCTACATAGTTTACTTCAAGAAATCTTGTTGCTTTAGATGTATTAGTAATTCCTATCTGATAATTTGAGCAATCATCATACTAAAGGGGCAAAAAGATTGTTACTTTAAGCCTAAGTATATAGGAATATGATGAGTACGCATTTAATACTCTACTTATGCATTTTTATACGATGGTTTATGAATTGAATCATTTTCTTAGTTTCTACTAAGATGAAGCATCAAGATAAATGAGAGGAGAAATATATGATTAATAGTTGTTGGAGGAAAGAGGATTAATAGATAATCATGATGCATGAGCATGAGCATACATATATTCTTAGTTTTATCATGGATGATTGAATAATTAGTGAACATAAAAAAGCTAAAACTGTAAAGTTGACTTGTTATTTTTGCAAATTGAGAGGGGCATAAGGGGAATGCCTACAATAGGGCATACGAGTCCAAAAGAGTGCCAGCTGCTAGCTGGGACCCTCATTCATGATCAGCCCTCTCATTCCTCCCTTCTCTCTCCTTTGGCACATCCCTCTCTTACCATGGGGATGGCCTGCTCCTCCTCTCTCCTTTGGCGCCACCTATAGCACACCATAGGTGGGCCAGCTCATTCACTCCCCCCCCTTCCGGTGGTGACAATACCAACAACAATCATGGGTCTTCTCCCTTGGCACAGCGAGAAGAGGATCAATTGAAGATGCCCTTGTGTGAGGCCGCCATCCTCTCCCCATGTTTGTTAGAACAAGAGGGAGAAATCATGTTTGTTTTGTTTATAGACTTTTATGTAATCGAATCTCTTTTATCCTAGTTAATGCAATCTAAATTTTGTGAAGTTTTATTCCCCTTTACCTCTTCGATTTTGAATAGTCAATGTCATTGAAGGAAGTAGGGAACCATCCCCACCAGCCATCTATAATTTTTTTATGAGGTGGCTGGTGGAACCTTTAGAGAAATCTTCTTCTCAATGTGTATTGACCTGGTTCTGAATTTCTTCCTCTCCATAATTTCTGTGTTCGTGGCTACCGAATTTTAAAGAATAAATAAATCAGAATATGATTATTAATTAATATACATCAACTAATTCAAAACTCTCCTTGTGTTAGACTTGGTTTTCCACAAATTCATCAAGAAACTATTCTTACGAAAATCAGTTTATAAATTTAAAATTGACAATCTTAATAACAACGACTTAAGAGAGGTCACTATCTCAGCATGGCATATTATGTAAATAATGACACTTTCTATAGTAATATACAAGATAACAGTTTCATATGATAAATTCAATTAAATATACAAATTTGACATTACTAATCATAAGTATATTTAATAAATTCTCATTTGAATATTTATTAATATTATATTGACACAATAATGAGTACTTTCACTTTTAATGTCATATCATACATATTCAAAATTAGGCATAATTTGATCTTTTAATTGATTTTATACTTATTTTTTATCATCAAAACATCATGTGTTTAACATTCTAACACACATGTGGCATGATTGTAGCAAACTCATAAAACTAAATAACTTATCATCTCCATACATAGTTTTTATGTCAACTAGAAATAATGATAATTTATTAATATATTCTCATATCATCTTTATATGTCAAATCTACCAAAGGGATTCTCACACTACTCAAGTACAACTGGTGGGATAAAATTGCTCTCTGAAGTCTTAGACAAACTCTTCCCACAAGTGGATCAAAGAGTGCAATGAATTCTCTATCCTTATCTTCCACCATAACATATCATTGCCCACTAAATACATACTAAGTAGGACAACTTTCTCCCTTTTAGGTGTGAGACTCACCTTGAAGTACTAGTTCATCTCACACAAGAAGTTCTCCACCTCTCAAATAGTGTAGGTTCCCCCACAATACCTTGGGTTCTAACACCTTTCGTCATGTAGTGTCACTCAATTGTGGCAACCACAAGACACTTTATTAATACTCTGCATGTAAGGAAGACTTCTTTGACCCTTTCACACGTGTCTACACATGTCAATTCTTATATGTCTCCATAAAACGAATTGAAGGTTTCTTTTCATTCTTGCTTGTTGTTTATCCTTCCATCATGCATTTCATTTTGCCCATGTGGCTTCTTCAGATTGAGGTGAATTCAACCCCTTACCAACACAATATAATATTAGAAGTAGATGTCCTTTAATGCACACAGTTTAAACAATGCACTCAATTTTAAATTTATGATTGAACTCTTAAAATGTAATTGTGAAATATTAGATGAGACCAAGTTTAATCCACGATGATGATTTGATTATCTTTTAATGTAAATCTTGTGCTCTACAAAGGTAAATAATTCATGAAATAATCAAAATAAAGTATCTAAATAAATTATTTGTTTTTAAATAAATATAAATATTAAATTCATAAATGATTTGTCAAATAAAAATATAAACTAGGATCTAAGAGGATGAATCTTCACTATCTTCACAAGTTGATGATGGCGTGTTGGATTCACAAAGTTGTGAAAAGACTCCTTTGTGCTAGAGAGAGAAGAGAGAATGAGAGAGGGAAGAGGAGAGAGGAGGGCGATAGGAGAGATGGAGAATGGTGTGTTGAGAAATGGGGAAGAGTTGATCATTCAATGGTGACACATGAGGGAGAGTGACAGAAAAAGAAAAAATAAATAAATGAAAAATCATAATCTCGAGGGATCTCTCATTCATAGAAAGGAAGCCTTGCAGCTGGAAGAAATCGTTGGTGAAAATTGAGAAATAAAAAAAATCAAAACTGATTAAACAAAAAGATAAGATAGAAAAGAAGATGTGAGGGTAGATAAACATGGAGGAAAATGTAAGAAGGGAGAGAAACTCACCAACATACATCTACTACTAGAGAGAGAGAAATCACCTATGAAAACAATATCACCAACGAGAGAGAGGAAAAAACGTGAAATCAATCAACATCAAATGCGAAGAAATAGGGAAGAGACTGGATGAGAGATAGAGAGGAAAATGCTTCAGAAAAAGGAGAAAATTTGGTGAAAAAGGTAAGAACTCGAACCAAAAATAGGTTTCTCATCAGCATGAGAAAACTCCACTCAAACAAATAAAAATGACAAAGAATGATTAAATTTTAAAAAAAATTATAATGAGAAAGAAAATAGGCAAGAAAAGAGGACAAAGAGAGAAAAACATATTGGAAAGGAGAAAAACTTGCCAATGGGAGAGAATGCAAACATGAGAGAGCAAAGAAAAACTTGAAGACAAAATGAAGGATTGGGGAATGTGAAAACAATGCAATAATATAGAGGAAGGGGGGGAAGGGAAGATCATGATGAAAAAATAGAAAATGAATAATCCTCCTATCTATCACTAGAGATGGGAGAACAAGAGGGAGCAGGAGGAAGTGACAAAAACTCATCAAAAACTCGAAAACTAAGTTTTAAAACTGTCAAGGATGAAGTGAGAAATGATTTCGTGGCTGAAGAAGTGAGAAATGATTTTGTGGCTGTCAGATAGGAAAAGATTAAGAGAGAAGAGAATAATGTCAAGAGAAAGAGAGAGAGCTCTTAGGGAAAAGAATGGAGGAGATGAGGGGGAAGAAGACAAGGAGAGAAGAGATGCACGAAATATAACATATATATGGATATTGACGATTGTGGAGGGGGGACGTTATGACTTATGGTAGCCTGAGTATATAAAGAACAAATTGCCCCCATCTTATGGTCAAAAACTCCTTTATATCCTAAATATAGAAAAATAAATAATTAAATCTTAAAATTTATATAAAATAAATAATTAAATCTTAAAATTAACATCAATATAAAAATATTATTTGGATAGTATTTATTATGATAAAAATGTGCACCATATATTCTTTTTACTTTAAAATATCATGTTACCATGCTCCTTGTCCTTTTTTTGCTTGATGTGGACTGTTCTCACATTTATGCAAGACATATGAAATGTTACTCACCTTTCTTTTATGCTAGTTTTGATTGACTATTTTATGAAGGGATTTTTCATACTCATAACATCACTAATAATTTGTGTTTATTTTTTTGGATTTTGATCTGCAAGGATCTTGATCTTGTCATGCTTACAATATTTTTGCATCCTTCTTGATATATCATTCCATTTTCATGGAGAGGACACTAGGCCAACCCTTTCTTATTTCATCTCCTTATTATAGTATTGATAAGTCTTCATTATCAATAATATAGTTCTAGCCATAAATGGACTTATATTTATGTTAAAATATGAAAAGTAATTTTCAGTTGATTAATATTAATTTTTAGCTAATTATGTGATTTTCTAAGAATTTATATAATATTTATAGTAATATTTTTGAGATAAATATAAAAAAATAAATTAAAATAAAAATATAACAAAATGGGGAAGACCTGTCGGCCAGCCAACCAATCACCTCGAGCAACTAGCACTAATGGAGGAATGTGTGCGTCACTCTCCTTCCACGTCACTGGTGGTCAATTGATTGCGAGGCAAAGAATGGTCGTATATGTGGGAGAAAATGACTCATTGCTTGCAAATGTGATATTACTATATATTCATCTAAAACTTTGGCACACAAGTAATATGGAATTAAACCCGTGTCACATCTTCCTCTGAAAAACTTTGAAGATTTTAATACCTAAACTATTCATTTGTTATAACAAAGATATATCATGATGACGTCACTTGATAAAGACATTACAATACTTATTTCAATCTCTCTCATGTAGGTGAGCAATCAACACATATTCAAATTCTCTTAGAGTCAAAACTCATATTTTTATCTGATTATCGTGACTTTCTTGTAGATCAGTCGTGAAAGATTAAGTCGTAAAAATCATTGAATCATTAGTGAAAATCTCATCACCACAATTCATGGAGTATTATTACTAAAATTATTGAATAATTTGTAATAAAAAGATTATAAATCTATTGAGTAAATCATCTCTAATTGATCAACGAACAAGTCATCATCAAGAAGAAGATGATCTATCGAGAGACGAGTCGCCACCTTTTGATAATATATTAGATGCGATGAAGAGCCTCCTTTTACTATGTAGACCTGAAGATGAAGTTCCTTAACACACGCATCACCTTCATCCAACTCCTCTCTATTAGATGATAGCTGTTGATGAGTTATAAAGTCGTCATTTTTTTTATCTCATTGGGTGACAGTCACCAAAGATGATTTGACAACTCATTTTATTGATCTCTAGACTTTACAAAGAAATCTAGAGATTACTCATATCATCCTTATCCAAAAAAAGCCTTTGAAGTTGTGGACACTATATGACGATGTCCTAAATACTCAAAATTCTAGTGTATCATTGACACATCACCGCTGCGACGCCAGAACTTTATTTTCCTACTTTCACCTTAATTTTTACTTTATTTAGTGATACTTTTTGTGATTTAATTTTATCAAGTTATATTTCATTTAATTACAATTCTTCTAGATTTTATAAATATTAATTTAATCAATTAAATCATTTGTAATTACTTATGTAAGAATCATCGAGCAAAACTTTATTTTTGCCTAATTGGCATTTGTCAAACATTGACATCATCCTAACATCTGCATCCTTATTTCCTTTTTTGTGAATTTTAAATATATTTCATATTTATTTCTTAATATAAAATTTATAAAAACTCATATTCTTTGAAAAAAATTCTAAAACATTATCTAATATTATATTACATCCCTACAATTGACTTAAAAAACTATCACTATTTTTGAAAGTTTTATTAA